ACTAATATAATATGTGTGAGACTGTGACAATCGAACTCCAGTCATAATAATTTAAAATGTACTAAACATGTTCATTTATTTCATAATTGGTCTATAAAATATTGTATTAATCTCTACTGAGACTGTTGTATTTTATTTTTCAACACATCAAGGTGCACCGACACTCAAACGAGATGCGAACATTAAGTTCCTAATATATTAGTATCATTAAATAACATTTACATGAAAAACAATTAAAAAAAAATATCGATCATAATATTTTTGGTAAATAGACATACAGATTCCATATTACCTTCCGTAACTACGTAAATATTACGTTAAACTATAAAAAAACTTTTTTAAATCACACATACTTTAAGAGTTAAGCACATATCTAAGTCATTTTATACAAATTGACTATTGATCTTTGGTCTCTATTATAGACTATTATATCTAAGAGATAACTATGCAGGAGATATCTATTGAAATAAATAAGTACCTATTATCGTATTATTCGTATTACCTATAAATATAGTGTAAAAATTGTTGTGGTCCACATTTTTTTTTCTAATGCCTTAATAGTTTTATAAATAATTGTGACTAACCTTCTCTGTTGGCTGCGTTTCCTTCTACGATGTGTTGGATGAGTTCTTCTGAACGTTTCAACCGTTTTTCCATTAAATCCATTCTATGTACCAATTTTTCAATAGCTCCTAGTAAATACATATCAGTTTCTGAAACCTATAAATTTAACATAACTTTTTGTTGAAACGCGAAAGGTATAAGTACTTATAATATGTAATATTATAGATATATCGTATCGAGTCATAAATCTATTTTATAACATCAACTATTCGATATATCTAAATGATATCTCCTGAATATATTGATTAGATTTAAAAATAACTACTCTGCAAATTCGAATATAAATAGATATAATTAGTTATAATATTACTTATTATAGTTGTTATAAAATTGTATTATTTGTTGTCCTATGGAAAATACTATAATAAACGATAATAGTAATGAGCAATTAGTACTTCTTTGCTAGGTTCTTTAACGTCCACTCGATCACCTGCAGTAGCCATGTTTTGAGACGGCCTGTTCACAACGTAACCGGTGGGCAAAGCTACCGGCACGTTAATTACGTTGTCACGTGTGGCTAAATCTTCAATTGTAGTCAAACGATGAGCGAAGTCTAAAAAACCAAAACCGATTAAGCCATTTCGTAATGAATTGAAATTTTTTTTTCYRAGTAGAAAAATTTGAAAAAAATTACCTCGGTTCGACTGAACGACMATCRCGGACGACARCAGTGGTATAACGACGCACGTTATTATTTTCGAAAACATAATCATATTTACCGTTTATGATTAAATTACACTTGTAGCCTACCCGCGAAAAGGATAACGACGACGACGGTTAATATAATATATTAAATTATTACACTTTTATTGGTGCGGAGACTCGAAGAACGTTTTGTCTACGTGAAAAGTGCGCGCCGACTGWGCACCGCGTGCGAACGGTCGCGTGAATCTGCCCGCGATGATCACACCAGTGCCACACTTAACACTGAGCGTAGAAAACAAAGTCGAGCGTCTAATAAACGCGCACCGCAAACGTGTTACTAATTACTGACCTAAAACCATTGGACCTTAACCACGGTCACGTCCGTTCAACCGGCCGGAAACGACGACAAACCGAAGTCGTCGTCGGTGCRCCTATACCTATATATAATGGGGTTTTCCACAGGTCGTATATCTACTGTGTATTATACGTCTAGTGCGCAAATGGCGATGAGCAGAGAAAACTCCGCCGAGGTTAATGTTTTGGTTCGACGAAAAGCGATTTTTCTTTCGGTGCGATGGAAAGCAAAAAAAATGTATTCGAATGGGAACCACTGGCCGAGTGAAAGTTTTCCACGCACTAAGACAAATGGACTGTGAAAAAAAATAATAATGCTCACAGCATGGGGGCATCCCATCCGTATCAGTTATTGACATCATTTGCATATTCCGGTGACAAATAGGTTTTACCTCTCCGCAACATTAGAGAGTACGTCATCATATTAAATGAAATCATAACCAATGTATAGTATAAAAAACAT